ATGGCTGTGTTCTTCTTGGGATGACCTGTCAGGGACATTCCCTTTTGGTTTATCCCATCGCTGGTGGTGTTCATGTGGATCACTTGATTGAGGTGGCATCCTGCCAGGCTTTTCCACCATGAACTTTCTCCTTTTGTAATAAGTGTTTTTGTGCGGGGAGGTAGAGTGAAGCTTTGTAAATACCTTATTTCTCATCAGACTTTCAATTTACTCATTAACTTATTTATATCGGGATGGACTCATAGTTTCCTGTTTTATTAAATAAGCCGTAGCCCATTACTACCACATACTCTGATGCTCTGATTGTCCCAGAGTTGGTCAGTGGGATCCCTTCAAGCTGGTTCCTGGGTCCTTTCACCTGCTCCTCATCCTTTGAGCACCTCCTTTGAGCTCTCAGGGACTTGTGTTTTCCCTTCTCCAGCCCTAGAATCAGCCTCTGCTTTGAGGAACTCTCTTTCTTTTGGAGGATCAGGATACTGATGAACTTCCCCAGTGCGGACACCCGCTCACCCACGTGGGCTTGACCTCCCGCGCCACAGCCCACCTGCTCAGACGCTGTCCCACGCTGAGGCTCTGCTGCTCTCTTTGGGCCATTGGAGCTCCCCCGCCCCGCTTACCTTATCCAGACCCCAGCCTTGCTTGTTCTTCCTGGTGGCCTTAGGACCGAGTGTTTCAACAAGGGGAAGATTCTCTCAGTTTTTAAATCTCCTTTTCTCTCGATACTAATCTACCCTCAGAAAAGTGCATTATGGTGGAAAGAACCTAGGCTTTGACAAATGTCATTCCTCAGCCCTCTGCTGTCCCTCATCTTTTATCCACTCTGAAGACTGGACTGTCATTTTGGGGACACTCACACCCCCACACCTGTTGCCATCTGGAGGCCAGCGTACTGCTCCACCTCTTTAATTCTTAGTGTTTCCAGACACGAATCCTACAGGTATCTTCACTGGGTGCCTGGTGCGTGCTGGGAACTGAGAAAGACAGTATGACAAGGCCCAGCCCCTGTTCCTGAAGGGATCTTCTGCTCAAAATCAAGCACTCGCTTCCTTCATTTTTAGCTGTTTTACTACTGTCTCACTCACCCCAGTCCATAATGTGGGAGTCACTTGCTCTGGGCCCTTGTTTCCTCAAACGTTCCTGGGTCCCTTGTCCCCTTTCTGTTTCCACTGACAATACTATATTTTATTGTATTTTTTATTTTATTATTTTGCAGGGGGCTGGCCAGTACAGGGATCCAAACCCAAGACCTTGCTGTTATAAGGCTGCACTCTAGCCAACTGAGCTAACTGGCCAGCCTCAGTACTGCGTTTTAAGCCTTTAGAATCATAGGCCCCATTGTCACCAGAGTCCTCTAACTGGTTATTCTGCTTGTAGGGCCTGGACTCCCCTGCAGTCTTGACCACACGCTTTGGTTACAGCATTCTGTCTTGCAGAACTTTCAAAGGTTCCCTCTCACCTGCGATGTGAAATCTATAATTCCTTAGAGCTGAGCAATCAAGATGCTCCATAGTAGAGCCGGTCTCCTTTTCCAGCTTTGTCTTCCTCTGGGACATTCTGCCAGCCTTGCTTCACGTTTCCCTGCTCACACCTTCTCGCTTTTTTGAAGTGCTGTCTCCTCCGTTACCACCTATACAAGGTTACATCAGATCCTACCTCCTCCATAAAATTTTTCCTGAAAAGAAGCTCTTCATCCTTGAGAAGGCAGCTTCCTCTAGAGTGAGAGTGATGGCGGATGTCAGGCAGGTAGCCTGAGTGTTGTCCCAGGTCTGCCATTAAATGTCCACAAGCCCTGGTGCAGTTAGTACCTTTCTCTGTGCCTCAGATTTTCCATCCACAAAATAAGGAAGCTGGGCTGGTTAAAGCATGAAAGTCATTATGAATCTAAAATTCACTGACATACCCTAAAACTCTTTTTGTTTATGCAGTTGATTTAAGTTGAAGTCGTGATTGTGTGTTTTGCTTTGCCTGCAGCTCTGCCTTGAAAAGGGGTCCATTTGGAGTGGAAGATGACTTTTCTGTCCCACCTCCTGTTAAACTGACCCGGATAGAAGAACCAAAGAGAGGTGTGTTGTCTTCCATTTCTTAGTGGGAGTTTTAAATCAGAAGCAAGCAAGTTCTGAACCTGTCACAGGCGAACGTCTTTCAGACATGTCTTGTGCAGTTTCTCTTGGGTGCTTTTCCCTGGGACCAGCTCCAGCTCGAGCTGGGACTTAGAGCAGAGTTAAAAGACCAGTTGAAACTTGTGTCCCTTAAGACAAATTTTGTATTGGTTTGTGTTTGTTGCCCTTGATGTGAATGTGTCTTTTTGTTTTGACCAGTACCTGTGATCTGGTTTTGTATTTTGCTCATATAAATTAACTACATTCTTTTTTTTTTTTTTTTTCCACCTCCGTATTCCTGGTTGGGGGTTGATTAGTGCTGCTCTACGTTCGAAAGGAGTCAGAAGAAGTCTTTGATGCCCTGATGCTCAAGACTCCCTCTTTGAAGGGCTTGATGGAAGCTGTAAGTAGGATAAACTCTGTGATCCCCTTTAAAAATGAAAGCAAACTTACATAGAATTCCACTGAAAAAATTATATTAGACAATCCACGTTCTTTAGCTGTGCTGGAATCTTTTATGCATTTCCGAGTCATGGTGCTGTGTGTACGCCTGTGGCCTGTCCCGCATTTTATCCTGCCTCAGGTGGTCCTCATTTGCCCACGTCTGTCTCATCCACCCGGGGGGTCTTACTGCACTGTGCCTGGCACTCGAGTTGGTAGGTGGTAATCATTCAGTCGTGTCTACTGCACTGAATTGAATGAATTTGTCATGGCCTACGAAACAGCTTAATTTTGATGCACTTGGGTTAAAGGGAGACTGCCATTTAGCAAATCATTTAGAAGCTAACAAAAACTTTTTATCAAGTAAAATCTTAAAAACTTCATACAGCCTTTGAAACTCCTGATCATAGGGAACTACTGAACTGTGTCAAGATCTTACCCAAAGCATATTTGAGAAAATTAGAGGTGTAACCAGGGATGACCATAAATCCTTCCTACAGGATCTCAGCAAAGGGCTGGGGTAAACTGATCCCAGTATTCCCTTTTGGGATGTCAGTAAGAGAGACGATGTGGAGGGGTGCTATGCTGATTTCCCATTTTGGCTTCGCCCTAGGGTAAAATTGAAGCGATTGGCATTGTATCCTGATACTTACCAATCTCAGTCCTTGATAGACATAGAAATCTTTGAGCTCGAAGCATGCACATATTGGACTAGAAATATGTTTCCCGGTGACCCCTGACAACTAGAGAGTGTCGAATCCATGTAGCAAATCTTTATTAAGGGCTTGCTCTGTGCCAGGCAGTGTTGTTGGCACTGGAGTTACAGGAGTGGTTGGCACAGTGCTGAATGGAGTTAAATTCTGGTTATGAAGACAGAGACAATAAAATAAGCAAAGAAATTACCTTCTAACTTTTCAGGTACAGGTAAGTGCGGTGAAAACGAGTCAAGCAGGGTAAGGGGACAGTCTCTCAGGAGAAGCGCCCGGAGTTCCCAGATGTGTCCACGTGGCCCTTCCTGCGGGTGTCACTGACAGCACCATGGTCACTGTCATCGCCTGCTTCCTGCTTTTTCTCCAGGGCTTCTCTTTATCTTTTGAGGACCCTTCATGATTTCTTAAGAATCATGCAAACTCTTGATCGTGGGGAGAGAGGAGAGTGAAAAGAGGAGAATTACTGTACCAGTGTGATTTGTTCACAACTCACGAGGAGCTCACGACAGGCTCTTACATCTCTTGGGGCTGGGATTTCATAAATGTACAAAGTGCTATCATCCTGTGATACAGAAGAGAAGTGATCTTGTTTGTCTGGTGAGAGCCCTGAGCTGGGGTTTGGTCTGAAGTGCATACTTTTGTTAGATTGACGGAGGCCCCCCTCTCAGTGCTGCCGTGAGCTGCCCTGCAGGCCGGGGCTCCGCCACGGTCCCCATCTGAGAGTGGTCTGGGCAACACATCCAAATGAAGCGTCTGACCGAGACTGCATCAGCTGTTTGTCCTTGAAGCACTTCCTCCTTTCTCTTTAAAAACAGCCTTTATGCCCTCAAAGGAAGACAGCCAGAGTTGACAGGGGCAGGGTCACTGCAAGGTGTGGGCCACACACTGCCCGTTACAGAGGAGAGGGCCGAGACAGGGGTGGCGGCGGCTGCGTGTGGCCTGAGCCTTCGTGCTCTCGCAGGTTCCTTCCCACTTACTGCAGAGGCTCTGGCTAGAGCCAGCAGGGCAGAGATCTTGATTTGTGATCAGGGACTTTGATGTTTCTTCTGGACTATGGGATATGANTCTTGGGGCTGGGATTTCATAAATGTACAAAGTGCTATCATCCTGTGATACAGAAGAGAAGCGATCTTGTTTGTCTGGTGAGAGCCCTGAGCTGGGGTTTGGTCTGAAGTGCATACTTTTGTTAGATTGACGGAGGCCCCCCTCTCAGTGCTGCTGTGAGCTGCCCTGCAGGCCGGGGCTCCGCCACGGTCCCCATCTGAGAGTGGTCTGGGCAACACGTCCAAATGAAGCGTCTGACTGAGACTGCATCAGCTGTTTGTCCTTGGAGCACTTCCTCCTTTCTCTTTAAAAACAGCCTTTATGCCCTCAAAGGAAGACAGCCAGAGTTGACAGGGGCAGGGTCACTGCAAGGTGTGGGCCACACACTGCCTGTTACAGAGGAGAGAGCCGAGACAGGGGTGGCGGCGGCTGCGTGTGGCCTGAGCCTTTGTGCTCTCGCAGGTTCCTTCCCACTTACTGCAGAGGCTCTGGGAAGAGCCAGCAGGGGCAGAGATCTTGATTTGTGATCAGGGACTTTGATGTTTCTTCTGGACTATGGGATATGAAAATGCTTTCCTCTTCCCATAACTGTTTCTAAAACGCTAACTTCTGCTTTGTGGCAGACATTCTTTCATCTTCACAGCATAGCAGCTGGCCAGTATGGGGATCCAAACCCTTGACCTTGACCTTGATGTTGTAACACCTCGCTGTAACCAGCTGAGCTAACTGGCAGCCCTCTTGATGAGGAAAGACTGAGCATCAGAAAGGTCCCCTGCTAATTAATAAAGTGATTCCATTTACATGTGTCTGACCCCAAAGCAAGGCCTTTATACAGATGATCAGAATATCTAGGGCTGTGTGGACACAGGTCATTGTACATCTGTCAGACCCACGGAAGGTGTAGCACAGAGCCAACCCTAATGTGAACAGTGGCTTTGAGTCGATGATACTGCAGCAGTAGTGGCTCACCGTGCATGACAGACACAGCACACTGACATAAGATGTGAGTGACAGGGAGGCAGGGCTGTGGGAGCTCTGTACTTGCTACTCACTTTTTCTGTAAACCTAAAACCGCTCTGTAGAAATAAAATCTATTTAAAAAAAAAACTGACCACATAATACACTCACCTTGTCCTAGTTGTAGACTTTTTTTTCAACCAATCGGCTTATTGACGTCTGCATAAATTAGGGGGACATAACAAGAACCTGATTCTAGCTCCCTTCAAAGGACACCCCCGTCGGGACATGATCATTTCCATTTCTTTGTGTTTGCGTTTTTGAAAAAAAGTTGAGTGATTGTGTGTGTATGTGTGTGTGCGCACGCATGTGTGTGCATATATATAGTTGTTTGTTTCTTAAAGCCATGAAGACAGTGTTCTGTAATTATTTCTCTTTGCTCTTTTAGATCTCAGACAAGTATGACGTTCCCCATGACAAGATTGGAAAAATATTTAAGAAGTGTAAAAAGGGGTAAGCAGTGGCCAGCACTCTGTGTGCCCTAAGCACGTTAACATTCCGTGAGCCTTGTGTGGAACACACAAGCGTGTGCCCAGTCCAGAAACAGCCAGAGGAACACTAATGCTAGAAGCTGGTTTTTCTTAAAGTATTTACATAACATTGATCTACCTTCAAGGACATTTTTGCGCATTGTTTTTTCAAGTAAAATCTGTACTTGCCCTTCCCGTACGTGGCAGCAGGGGTGGCTCCAAGCTCAGGGTGCGCGTGGTGGGGTGGGGTGCACTGAGGACAGCCCCATCAGCACAGTGCCCATCGGGAGTAGGCACTGGATCAGGTGCTTCACGTGTCCCCTTGTTTAATTTTCACATCCTTTTTCTCAGATGGGCGTTACTGTTTGTAGTTTATAGACAAGGCAGCTGAGGCTCAGAGAGCTGGAGAGACTTGCCCGAGATCGTGTGGCTTGATGGTGGTGGAGCCATGACGCAGATTCAGTTTTGACTGACTCTGAAGCCTTGTTCTTTCCTCCACCGTCCTGCCCTGGATCAAGCAGGATATAGCATGAGAATTTTTCAGCTTAATTCCAAAACAAATCCTAACAGGAATTTTCTAGATGAGTCTGGCGGGAAGGGTTGAACTTAATAGGAGTTCATTTAAACTTTGAAGATAACTTGCCAGGGAAGATAATTTGTCAAGCAGCCATGGCTGAAGCCATCATGTAGATTAATTTTATTGATATGCTTTCTAAAGTTGGACCAATGAAATATTCCTTCTGTAGGTTTATTTTGTTATATTATAATAGGTGCTATTTATTGAGTGCTACATGCCAGAAATAACAACAGTAAGTAAGCTGGTGTTTTTTGTTTGCCATGCGCCACGTGCCATGCTCTGTTACAAGTGGTTCTCTTGATTCGCAGCCTCATCTAATTCTCACAACAACCTCATAGGATCGGCACGATTGTTATCCCCATGTTACAGATGAGGAAACTGAGGCTTAGGGAGGTTTAAATCATTCACCTCACGGGTCCCAGCTAGTAAGTGGCAGAGCTAACTATAACGTCTAGTTGTGCCTCGGAAGCGGGGAGGAGTGAAGTCCACCTGTCTGTCTCTCCTCTTGCAGGATACTGGTGAACATGGATGACAACATTGTGAAGCATTACTCCAATGAAGACACCTTCCAGCTTCAGATCGAAGAAGCGGGCGGGTCGTACAAACTCACCCTGACAGAAATCTAAAGGCCAGCAGGTCCCCCGTGCCCCCGAGTTAAATGAAGGTGTTACCCAGATCTTACTGTTTGGCAGGTGCAGGTCCGCCCATTAAGCGGGCGGGTCGTACAAACTCACCCTGACAGAAATCTAAAGGCCAGCAGGTCCCCCGTGCTCCCGAGTTAAATGAAGGTGTTACCCAGATCTTTCTGTTTGGCAGGTGCAGGTCCGCCCATTGGCCATTGTGCAAACACAGGCGGGTGTCAAGGGAAGGGATTCCTTTCGAGTTGGAGATGGAGCTGCATTTGGCTTGGAGATGGCATTTACTATATTGCATTGGTGCGTTTCAGGTGACGGAGAAATCCATAGACCACTAGTTTGAATGTTCTGACATACTTAGTATTAAAAGTGAAAAGTTTGTTCCAAGATCTAACATTCTCTCTCAGAACCTTTAAGTTCTGCTGTTATTTATCATAATATTGGAATATCTACCTTGTCTCTACAACATTAGTGGGCCTGCTCACTAGAGGAAGTCAGAAAAAAACAAGGGACTTGGATTTAGGGATTTTATACTCTTGCCTGAACTCAGAATGACTTCAGCTGCCTCAGGTTAGTGGGAGCAGCACCTGCAGAGTAAAGGGTGAGCCCTTTCTCCCTTAACTCTCATCCTCCAATAAATGTTTACTAAAATAGGGCATGTTACCAAAATCTTCCTCTGCAACTTTCTTGGACATATCAACTGCCTTTCTTATGAAGAACTTTAATGGGTTACAGTATGAAATTAGTTAAGATAAAGCTGCATTGTATATAAGTGCAATATATTTTTGAAGGTCTGTGTCTGTAAATGTGTACATACATGTCTTATATAAATATATAATATATAAATATGGTGTCTGTGTACATACAGTGAAGATATGCAATAAGACCTACCTTAAAGACTTTCCCTAGACAAAAAGCTAAGTTATTTTTGTTGATGTGTACCAAGCAGATAGAATACTGTGCTTAGTGGAACCCACTCAAAGCTTTCTCTGTGTTTTCCCAAACACAAGCAGTTCTACTGCATAGCAAAACCTTCTGAAATGACAGATTGTTTGCTATGAGAATGTTGTTATTTGGATTTCTGCACTGTTTAACAAATGAAGTAAAAGAAAAACTGCAATTCATGTCTGTGGTATATGCTAGTATCAGTCAGATGTACCTATATAAACACACACAGTAACTACAAAACACATAATTTAATTATATGTAATTATTGTGTAGCAAGTAATACTTCTCAAAATGGCATTCTTTGTAATCTTCCTGATATAAGAAATGATTGTTATTTTATCATGTTTCAGAGTCTTCGAGCTTTGATCATCTTGTGTGTTAACAATTCTGGAAAGCATTCATGAATTTATGAGAATATATTACTATGGCAGGGGAACATTTTGTACACATGTTTAAATATATAAAAATACTAAAAATGTAATTTTATAACAAAAATAAGATCACGGGTATCTTTAGGTTCAGGGAACTAGAATAAGTCATTTGTATAAGTAGGATTGATAGTTACATTCTTAGGTTAAAATACTCTAATGAAGTATGTGAACTAAATTCCTGGTTTTCTAAGATAAGATATGGGACACGGGTTGTATAACAATAATATTTTATATTTTGTTTTATGAAATTGATTTTGTCTTGTTTTTAATTATATCAGTGAAGATGTATTTTAAACCAAAGCAATTAAATTTTATATGTCTATTTCATAATATGTAATTTCCTGTTATTCAGTTGGACTGTATCCTTTCATTAGTCAGTAAAACAACATTTGAAATCTTAAGATGTTAGAGCCAAAAAGCATCTCCTTTATTAGCACTTTCTCCTTATTTCTTAGCATGTGTACTTAGATTGCTTCGTTCTTGTTAATTTTTCCCTACAGGTGTCTGAAATCCGGGTAATTGTTACATAAGGGAACCCTGAATAACTTTTCAGTTTTTACCAAAATTTAACCACTAAAGCTGAAGGTAAACACTTTCATACCTAAAATCTTAGTCTTAAGTTTTTAAAAGCCTACTAGAAAATGTTTAGTTTAAAAATCTACCAGTAATGTCTTAATTCATCAGAATTTCTAAAACAGCTGTCCTGAGTATATTCAGGTCATACAAGGCCTAAATGTGATAGACATTAAAATATATTTTTAAGGAATATGTGATCAAGTTAGTGAAGTAAGGGGCCGGCCCCTGGCTCACTCAGGAGAGTGTGGTGCTGTTGGCACCGGGGCCGCAGGTTTGGATCCCATGTAGGGATGGCTGGTTGGCTCACTTGGGAGAGCGTGGTGCTGACAACATCAAGTCAAGGGTTAAGATCCCCTTACCGGTCATCTTTAAAAGAAAAAAAAAAAGTTAGTGAAGTAAACTCCCTGATAGATTTCCTGTGACATCTGTGTGTGTCCCACTCTAATCCTTGGGCCATGAGTCCAGACTCTTCACCCACAGCCTCACCTCCGGATCACAGGTGGGTCCAAAGTCCAGCTCGGCACAGGAAGCCGGGGGTCGGGCCAGCCCAGCCTCTCCCTGGGGGCCTTCCTGCCTCCCACTTCTGGCCCCCCACCCCTCTGGACATTCCTAACTGTGTACCTGCACAGGTTTTGTTCCCAGGGTCCAGTCTCCATTCTGAGTCTCATCACCTGAATACTGACACCCCCCAACTTTCTCCGATCTAGAACCCTCCCCCGAGCACTAGATTCAGCCCCTTACTAGACAGTCTCTACCCGGATGACCTACCAGGTACTTCAGCTTCACACATCCCAGACTGAACTCATGTTTTCCTCCTTAATCACGCTTCTGCTTCTGGGTTTCCTGTTTGGTTGGCATCCTAGCTGGAAAGCTGGGTGCCATCTCTGACTCTGCCCTCTGTCACTGCCAGCATCCAGTCAGACCATAGGGCCGACATTTGTCCCTTGTTTATTGTTCCTTCTCTTCATCTCCACTGTGGCAGTAGTACCTTTCCGGCCTCTCACCACCTCTAAGCCACCTCACCTCGCAGGCTTGATACTGGGGGTTGGGTCATGTCGGCAGAAACTGCAAAGGCTGGTCCTAGCCGTGTCTGTTGCTCATGCCCCCGGCTGCCCATCTGCCCCAGCGGTGCCCCTGCGGGAACCACGCACAAGCCTCTGGTGCACGAGCCTGCTCCTCCTAGGCTCCTTGCTCTGGCCCTTGTCTTTCCCATGGCCTCAAGGCCCCCTCTGGTTCGGCTGGAGGATTTCTACTCACTCTTTGCAACTCTGCTCAACCACCACCTGCTCCGGAGCGCTTTCCTTGGCACGCCCCTCTGCACCCCCAGGGAAAGGATAGACATCCCCATCGTATCATGTTGTATGGACCTATTTAGTCACACGGCCGCCCTCCCCTCCCCTGCCCCTTGCTGCTCCAGCCTCGCAGCCATGCGCCGTACCTTCCGTAGTCACCTCCACGGCCTGGTGACAGCGTGGGCCTGGCACGGAGCAGTCACCAGCAGATAGGGGTTAAGTCCATGCATTCAGCTGCCCAGGTTCAAAACCTAGGAGTCAGCATCCATGCCTCTTTCTTTCACATCCTGCATCCAGTCGCTCAGAAAGCCCTGTTGCCCCTCCCTTTGGGATCTATCCAGAATCCAGCCGTCTCTCACCCTCACCTCTGGCCTGGAGTTTTGCAGTAACCTAACTGGATTCATTGCGTCCTCTCCTGGTCCCCTCATTTTATTCTCAGTCTAGCAGCCACAGTGACCCTCCTGAAATGTAACTCAGAACCTGCTCAGGACCCTGCGGTGGTCTGCTGCACGCAGAATAAGCCGAGTGCTCGTAGTGTATGCAGGCTCTGTCCCCGCCTCTGACTGCGTCCCTTCCTCTCTCCTTCATCCGCTCTGACCTTGCTGAACACCGCCCCCCCACCTCCCGAACGTGCTATAGAGCTGGGTCTGAGGTTGCACAACGTCGCAAGCAAATGTGGGCATGCAGCTTACAAAAGCCACCAGGTTTGACTCTAAGCTTTCTGCTGCTGAAGGTGGTATCAGAGATGTTTACCCAGTCGTGGTCACGTCACCAGGAAGAAAGATTCGTGTGCCTGATGGCGTGTTGGCGGTGTTAGTAACGAGCTGATCAGGGCTGAGGCTCAGGCTTGCCCTTTTGGGCAAGTGTTTTTCTCTCTGTGTCAGTGGGTGAGGCTGGTCAGCAGCAGTTTGCTCTCAGCTGGCAGAGCCAACAGCCCACGTTGCTGCCCTGCCCTGGGGCTGTCCCTACTCTCCAGCCGTGGATGAGAATCTAGTCTGTAGGGACCTGGGGAACCTTTCCATCCCGCAGGATGCCAAGTCCGTCCATCCCATTGATGACAGTGCCGGAAGGACCTAGGGAGCAGGAATGAGCATCTTCGCTAGACAATGTGCTGGAGAGCAAGAAACATCCCACAAAGATTCAGGGGACTGTCTCAGTAAAACTGCTGGGGTCCAGCCACGTGGGGCATGTCAGCACATCTCTTCCAATGTGAGGGACAAGTGCCACTTGGTCCCTCCACCTTACCCCACTCCCCACTCCTCACCCCCCCCGCCTTCTGTCCCATGGATGTCCTTAACCTGCTCTAATCATCTCTTCTAACCTGTTATATATTTTACTTGATTATTATACTCAATGTTCATCATTTGCCTCCCTTTTCTAGAATGTTCCCTCTGCCAGAACAAGAATTTTTGTGTGACTTGTTCACTGATGAATCCTAAACACCTATAAAAGGTGCCTGGCACCATGTAGACACTTGTGCCGATGTCCCCTGTTGGCCCCTGCCGATCCCCTCTCCACCATCTCCTCCCGCAGACTCAGCTGTGTGCACCACATCAACCATATGGGTGGGGGGAGACGGAAGGAAGCGAGCGAGGTCAGAGACTGAGTCCCTGGCTCCTACCCACCACCTCCAGCCGGCTGTTCCTGACGCTCACTGCGCCTCGGGTGGTCTCCTGCGCACGGCTCTGCCCCTCTGGGTGCTGGCAGCCACTTCCTTCAGGGGTTAGCTGCTGCCAGCTGGAGGTTGGGACCGTC